CGCCCGCAGCCCAAGGTCGACGTCAAGAACATTCCGTCGACCAAGATGGACCCGGACTCGAAGAAGGCCAAGCTCCTGAAGCGCATGCAGATCATTGCACGCCCGAGCAAGGGCGGGAAGCGCGCTGTCAAGATGAGCATTGAAGGCCGCGGGTTGTAAGCCACTTGAAAGGATGTGGCGACGACCTCTTACTACTCTACTACCTACGTATCTTAATAATGGAGCTCTGCACTCGGTTTTTTTGCAGTGGTGTCTTGAACGATGGATCTGGTGCTGAAAGGCTTGGTGTATGGCAAAGGTTCGTTGCATCACACGCACTTTTGGCTGCGATCGGTTGATCTAGTTGTTGAAAACCTGTCACTTGTACGTAGCCATACTGACGTATGGAGGATGGCTCGTACATGCACAAGGTTAAAAGCGATATCGGTCATTTGTTGGTGAATTTTTAGTTTGATTTTCGTGTTATGTTATGGTCTTCTTTCCTAGTACTAGTTGAACATCCAATGCGTCTGGCACGTCGCAGCGTCCTTGCTGTTGTCGTTGGAAGAGGCGTCGACGAGTTGCCGGACGCTGTTGATGGGATGGGAGGGCGAAGGCTCTGCAAGCGGCTCCATCTCGGACGATGCGAGCGAATTTAAGTCGTCCGTCGAGTGCGGCGGTCCATTCGACCACAAAGAAACTCGAGTTGGCTGGTGCAGAGTCGCTAATAGCGTGTCGTTGGAGGCGATGGCTGCGTGAATCTTGGTCTCAAGGCTCTTGACCCACGTACTAAGCTGCGTGATCGTGCTCTTGTTCTTGGCAATGGTGGCGTTGGCGTCGACCAAGTGCATTTTGATGTGCTGCACCTGGGCCTCCTTGCGTGCAAGGCGGCGCTCCATCTTCTCGCGCAAGGCAGCGATTGTGTCGTCGCGCCGAAGGACGCGGTGTGCGAGCTCCAGCACGTGGTCGTGGGCGGCGTCCAGCGCGTCGTTGGAGGTCGCTGCTGCGACTTGCGCCGAGAGCTGCGCGATCGTGTTGTCCTTTTGAGCGACTGTGTCAGCGAGGGCAGTCTCGGTCTTGATGAGTTGCTCGTGGAGCTCCGAGATCGTCGTCTTGTTCTCAGCGATGACGGTGTTGGCGTCGACCAAGTGCATCTTGATGTGCTGGACTTCGGCCTCCTTGCGTGCAACGCGGTACTCGAGCTTTTCACGAAGCGCCGTGATCGTGTCGTCGCGCCGAAGGACGAGGTGCGCAAGCTCCAGCACGTGGTCGTGGGCAGCATGCAGCTTCTCAGTCATGGCAGCCAAAGCAGCTTGGTGCTCGGCTTGCAGACGTTCGATCTCCATCTTGTGGTCGCGTGCCAAATCCGATGCAGGACGCGCGATCGGCGAATTGCGCGCGCGAGGCGCAGTGCGCACCGCAGTGGCAGTGGTAGAGCGTGCAGCTGGCTTGGCCGTAGCCTTGGCCACCGACTTGGTGGTGGTGGGCCGGCGGAACGGGTGCGAGATGCGGAGCTGGGCTTCCAAAGCCGCGACGCGACGGGCCTCCTTGTCCTGGTGGTACGTTGCGCTGTAGAGAGTCATCTTGCTTCGATCAGTGAATTGGAAATGAGATGTAGAAAGCTAGTCTATCTCGATGGTAAAATCGTCAAGTTGTTTTTTACACGACAAAGGCGTCCTTCCATTCAGCAACCGATTCCGCAGCTTTCGGTGAGTAGGGTAGGTGTAGGGTTAGTTTATCGACCTACTTGTACATGGCTAGTCGGAACCTATTGCTTGTGCTTCGTGTTGACTCGACCAGTGCACTTCTAATACCCTTTTCATAAACGTTGCCCAGACAGGAAATGAAATATAAACACTCAAATGCACCATTCTTCTCTTGTGCTTCGCCATAAAGCATGCAACATGAGGACGACTAGCGGCGCGGCGAGGCCAAGCGCGGGCTGGAAAGGCCCTTGGTGACTGTCACGTGACCCAACGTCGTCATCGCGCGCAGCACGGCATCGTCTTGAATGTCCTTGGCCCAGCTGCCCAAGATGTACGCGCCCACGTTGGCGCATGTCGCGATGGTTTCCATGAGCGCAGAGGCACCAACTGCGTAGTCGACTCGATGCTTTCGAGGCGCAAGATGATGTGAAGCATCGCGTCAAAGCCCGCATCCGAGACACTGCGGCGGTGGAAGCGAACGCGGCGCACAGCAGACGGACCCCGCACCACTGGTTGCATGTCCATCGCGTTCGAGAGAGCGGTGCGCTGAAAGTTGAGCTCATCAAGGACCGGCGTGCCAGAAAGCGCCCCGACGACGCAGCTGAGGTTGCCTTGGAGGTGCAGCGTGACCATCTTGAACAGGTCGAGCGATGCAAGCAGCGTGCGCGGGCTCATCGCGTTCCGGAACGTGATCTCGAGCACCGAGAGCTGGCGCAGTGGGAGACGCCCATCAACGAAGCGCTGCACAAGTGCGTTGAACCCCTCGTTGAACCCCGTGACCGTGAGGCTTGAGAGGAGCGGCGACG